CCCCCCCCCCGTTTGCTCTTCTCCTTGAAAAGCAAAAGAAAAACTCCCTCATTGGTACACAATCCAAATCCACTCTTAGGTATTTACCAAAGAAATCTGAAAGCAAAGACTTCAACAAATACTTGGACACCAACATTTATAGTAGCATCATTCACAGGAGCCAAAAGAAGAAAGAATGCAAGTGTCTATCAACAGAAAAACAGTCAAAATGTAACATACACACATACATGATATACTATTGGTAATAAATAATGAATGGAGCTCTGGTTTATGCTACGACAGGGATAAATCTTGAAAGCATATGCTAAGTGAAATAAGGCAGACACAAAAAAGACAAATATTATGTGATTCTACTTATATGAAATATCTTGACTAGGCTAACTCCTAAGAGATAGGAAGCAGATTTAAAGTTATCAGAGACTAGGGATGGTGTAATGTTATGAACAAGTAGGGCTTACTTCTAGGGTGATGAAAAAGTTCTGGAAATAGAGAGTGATGATGCTTCCACAACACTATGAATTTGTTGTTGTTGTTGTCTATCTTAGAGTCAGAACTGACCCGTAGCTGGTGGGTTTTCAGAGGCAACTAATCACATGGGAGGAGACTGCACATCCTTCTCCCATAGAGCAGCTGGTGGCCTCGAACTGAGTGCTTTAAGGATTGCAGCTCAGCTTCTTACCACTAGGCGACCATAGCTCCACTGTTAACATACTTACATATTTAAGACTCATGAGAAATGAACATTTAAAAATAGTTAAAAAGGTAACTTTTATGCTCTATATCGTTCACTCACTGAGTGCCCTCAAGTCAAAACTGATTCATACGTGACCCTCCAGAATGTTTTCAGAGGTTTTAAATCACATAGGAGGAAACTCCTACTAATCTTTCTCCCATATACTATGTATAGTTTACTAAAAATATTCCTTTCTCATAGTATCATTTTAGTGTATCAATTGATGCAATCTCTCAAAATGAATGATCTTTCAGTGTGTCATTAGCTATTAGTTAAATTCAGGAGTCAAGTATCGAAACAGGAAGGTGAGAAGTTCCTCAGCTTAGAGAGTTCTACATACAACTACTGTTAGGTTCTAAATGGCATGACACATCAGTAGCCTGATATGTTACCAAGCATGACCGAAATCATGCTGAACCACACAGTTCCAATGAAGGTGTCAGAACCACTGGGTGAACTCTGGCAAAATCATAACATGATGAAAAAAAATACACAATTACTACTTTAAGTCACTAGATTTGGGAATCGTCTCTAAGGAAGTCATGAACATCGGATACAGCATACCTTCGAGTTCTGCTTTTTGACCTAGACCGCTGCACTCTATAGGATTTCCCACGACCCCGTGAACGACTTCGACTTCGTTTTCTTCTGGAGCCATAAGAGGAGCTACTGCTTGATCGATGCCTGCGTCTGAAATAAGATACCACGAAATGTCACTGCATTAATTGTTCTTAATAAAGAGAACATGCCTGGTTCTAAAGAATCCTCTCCTTTCTCCTATGTAGACAAAATCAAATTTCCTTTCTCTCTTTCCATCAAGCAAATAAAAACAGAATCTTCTCAAATAACCAGATGACTAATTCATAATTCAGTGATGAGAGCCACTACTGACTAAGGCATTATGAATTTTAACTAGTATACAGTGCTTGCAATTTTGTTAAAACATTAAATGAGAACTAAAACTATTTGTAAAGACTTCTCTACAAAAAATAAACAAAGGCGAGGAAATGCGTTTGTTGTTCCTGGGCCAGTATCTGACAGAGGGAGACTGGCCGAGGGCTTTGTAGGCTGTGACCTTTACAGAAGTGCAGCCAGAGTGCACCTGCAGAGCTGCACAGGGAGTGCTTAACCACTGAACCACCACAGCTCTTTTCCCATGGGCTCAGTCTGGTGGGAAAAAAATCTGGGTGACTCATGAATATGTAACTGTTAATTTTTAACATTTCTAAACAATGTTAAAAGTGTTGTAATAAAATTAAAATACACAAACACATGAACTCTAAAGAATTTAACCTTCGTATTGTATAAATCAAAATTATGAAAAATCACCTTCTGTCATAAGAATGCGAACGAAGCTGAAGATCTCTGGACCAAGACCTTGACCTTGACCTAGACTTTCTCCCGCCCTTCTTTCGGCTGTATGTTCTACTGTCTGAAGAGCTGCTTGAAGATGACCTTCTCCGGTGTTTCTTCTTTCTCTTACTTCTGCTGTCTTCTTCGGTGTCTGAGGATCGACGTCCCATTGCTGTGAGCTTAAATTCAAAGAAAATTATTTCCAACATTTCACACCAGGTAAAATTCAATGTTGTTGTTGTTGTTGTTATGTGCCGTCGAGTCGTTTCCGACTCATAGCGACCCTACGCACAACAGCCCTAAACCCTGCTCTATCCTGCGCCAACCGCACCGCCTCTGACACACCCATCCCGATTACCCCAGTCACTGAATCAATCCATCTCATAGAGGGTCTTCCCCTCTTGCGCTATCCCTCCACCCTCCCAAGCATGATGTCCCTCTCCAAGGACCCGTCCCTCCTGGCAACATGTCCAAAGTATGTCAGATGAAGCCCCAGAATCCTTGCCTCCAAGGAGTAGCTTGGTTTAATCCTCTCCAAGATGAATCTGTTTGTTTTCCTGGCAGTCCATGGTACATTCAGTACTCTTCTCCAGCACCACAGCTCAAAAGCATCCACTCTCCTTCTGTCCTCCCTAGTCATTGTCCAACTCTCTGATGCATAACAAGCGACTGCAAAGACCATGGCCTGTATCGGGCACACCTTAGTCTCCATAGAGACACTGTTGCTCCTGAGTACCTTTGAGAGGTCCCTAACAGCCGACTTTGCCATCGCGATACGCTTTTTGATTTCCTGACTGCTGGTACCAAGAGTGTTGATTGTGGAGCCGAGCAAACTGAAGCTGTGAACACTCTCAATCTCTTCGTCATCCATCCTGACGCTGCCAATTGGTCCAGTGGCGAGAATCTTTGTCTTCTTGACATTGGGCCTCAGTCCATACTGAAGGCTGCAGTCCTTGACCCTTCGCAGCAAGTGCATGAGGTCCTCCTCAGTTTCAGCAAGCAGGGTTGTATCATCTGCATAACGCAGATTGTTAATAGATCTTCCACCAATCCTGATGCCACAATTCTCCTCATAGAGCCCAGCTTCTCGGATAATCTGCTCTGCATACATGTTGAAAAGGTATGGAGACAGGATGCATCCCTGGCATACACCCTTCCCAATTTTGAACCATGCAATGTTGCCCTGCTCTGTTCTGACTACTGCCTCTTGATCCAAGTACAGGTTTCGCATCAGCACAATTAAATGTTCTGGGATTCCCATTCTTCTCAGAGTCAGCCACAGTTTGTTATGATCCACACAGTCAAATGCCTTTGCATAATCAATGAAACACAGATAGACATTCTTCTGGTATTCTCTGCTTTCAGCCAAGATCCATCTAATACCAGCAACAATATCCCTAGTACCACGACCCCTTCTAAACCCAGCCTGGACTTCCGGCAGTTCTCTGTTGATGTGCGTTCTAATCGTTTTTGGATGATCTTCAGTAGAATCTTGCTTGCATGTGAAATCAATGACACTGTTCTGTAGTTTCTACACTCAGTTGGGTCACCTTTCTTTGGAATGGGAACAAATATAGATCTCTTCCAGTCAGTTGGCCAAGTGGTTGTTCTCCAGATTTCTTGGCACAACTTGGTGAGCACATCCAGGGCAACATCTGTTATCTGAAATACTTCAATTGGTATACCATCTATTCCTGGGGCCTTATTTTTTCCTATTTCCTTCAAAGCAGCTTGAACTTCTTCCTTCATCACCATAGGCTCTTGCTCATATGTTATTTCTTTAAATTCCTCTGTATCTGCCAATTCCTTTCTATATAATGACTCCGTATATTCCTTCCATCTTCTTTTAATACTTCCTGGAAACCATGTTAAAATTTCTAAAATATTAGTTCAACTAAAAATTTTAATATGCCTGGCTCTTGGCAGAACATCAAAAATAGCTCCAATACAGACTTTTAGGAAAGCAATGTACTGTTCTCATAGTTGTTGTGTGCCATCTGGTTTTTAGAGGCAGTTAATCACACAGGAGGAGATTGTCCATCATAGTTTATAGATAATTTGAACAGTGTCCCAAATTTTTACAAAAGTCTCTCAAAAAAGTAAACCCTTGGGTGGGGAAGGGAAAGAAGAATCACTAATAAGACAGTACAGAATTATTAATTCTGATGAAGGAAATGACAACGTACAATAAGGGAAGTTACTGTGACTGTCACAGACTGAATTATGTTCCTAAAACCATGTACATCTAACTCTGTAATGTGGAAATTATGTAATGACCTCCCATGATCTGATTAAAGTGTTGCTGTTATGTGCCGTTGCATCAACTATGATTCATAGAGACCCTATAAACAAACAATAGTTCTGAACCCTGAGCCAGTCTCACTGTCTCTGACACACTGTCCCCACTGCCACAGTCACTGTGTCAATCCAACTTTTCCAGGATCTTCCTTTCATGTACTGACACTCTACCCTTGCAAGCAAGATGTCCGTCTCCAAGAACTAGTCCCTCCTGTCCAGACACACAAAATATATAAGACATAGTTGAATGCATCACCCTTTATGCCAATCACAGTCTTGACAAATATAAAGGGAGTTTCCCTAGAGTGTTACCTAGAACACTTTTTAGTTCACAAAAGATAAAAGAAAAGGAAAGCAGGAAGGAGTGGGCAGTGGAAATAAATGCAACCAAGAAATAAGTGCCAGAACTATTGTGCACCCTGTGAACCTAGGTACACGTGCTAGGAAACTCCTAGAACCAGGAGACACAGAGAAGGCCTCCCCTGCAGCCAATACCCTGAATGTGGACTAAAGCGTAAGAGAATACATAAAGTCCCTTACTGTTTTAGCCCTGTTACAGCAGCACTAGATAACTAAGACAGTGGCCAAGCAAAGGAAGAAACTGAGTATCCAAGGAAAAAAGAGCACATGATACAACTCTGCCTGTGGGAAATGAAGACTGGAAGCATTTAGTGATGAACAGCCTTTAGTATGGATTATACCTCAACATGAAGAAAGCAAACACCTCATCACTCGACAAACAGGTAGGATCATAAATGGAGAAAGACTGAAGCTGTCAAGGATTTCATCTCACTTGGATCCATAATCAACAGCAGTGATAGCAAAAGTCAGGAAATCAAAACACTGCAATGGGCAAATCTTCTTCAAAGTCCTAAAGAGTAAGGATGTCAGCTTAAAAACTAAGGTATGCCTGACCCAAGCTATGATGTTTTCAACTGCATACTGAATACATCATAGACTTCCATAAGTACAGATAATTCTATCTTAGAAGAAGTACAGTCAGAATGTTCCTTAGGCGTAAGGACGAGTCAAGTTCATTTCACATATCTTGGACACAGTATCAGGAAGGCTTCGTCTCTAAGAAAGGATATCATGCTCAGAAAAGAAAGATCTGCAACAAATAGAAGACATTCTACAGAAAGGATTCATACAGCAAAAACAATGAGCTGAAGCATTCAGACATTGTGAAGATAGGGAAGAATCAGACAGTCTTTCATTCTACAGGACATGAGGTGACTAGGAGTTGAAGTCAACTCAATAACACCAACAGCACAGGAAACGCTTTTACATACAAAATCTTGCAACTATCGTAATAATAAACAATAATACGAGAATAGATGCATGTTGTTGTTGTTGTTACATGCTGTCGAGTCGCAACTCATAGTGACCCTATGTACTTAACCCTGCTCTATCCTGAACCAACCTTATTGTCTCTGACACACCAACTCCCATTACCCCAGTCACTGAATCAATCTGTCTTGACCAGGTTTCCTCTCGTGCATTGTCCCTCCATACATAAGTACACTAAACAGGTGAGCAAGGTAACACAGGAGGAAACCCACACACATAAGGATGTGGATACTGCTAGAAACATATCTGTAAATGTGGATACTTATTTGTAAATGCTGGATGTATACTGACATATATAACACCACACAGGGAGCACAGTTATAAAAACTACTTGCATGTTGAGACTGATCTACTATAGAATGTCTAGAAGACATGTAATTGGCAAACACAGTTCTACATCTAAGTCTGGTGAGTAGCACCTGAGATCTTAAGAGTCTAGGTGAGGCCATCTAAGAAGCATTATTGGCCTCTGCCTGCCAGTAGCAAAGGAGAAGGAGGAAGTGGAAAACTCAAGGAAACAATGACTCAAATGAACCACAGCCTCCTCTAACCTGGGACCAGAACTAGACAGTGCCTGGCTAGCAGGACTGACCACAATGGAAGGTCCTGGTTGAACAGATAAAAAAAGGTACAAAAAAAATCAAATTTTAAAAAAAGAAAGAAAAGAAAAAGTTTAGATGCATTGATCTGAAAGAGAATTAAGGAAGCCCAGAGCTCAATGCCTTAAAACAATCTTTGAACCTAAAAGTAAAGATATTCCCAGAGACTACCTTTCAGTCAAGCAATAGGAGGGCCTATAAAATAAATAATAAAAATTGTAAAGAATGTGCTCCTTAAGAGAGTCAACTGTCTAAAACCAAAAGGCTTGAGAAGGCAGGAAGGAAGGGGGTTCCCAGAGGAAGGGAATCCGGGGTTCCAGGGGGAAATGAGAGAAAGCCGACAACTAGTGGGAACTGTATCTACGTCACAGAACACTGTGTACCTGAAGTACTGATAGGGAAAGTAATTTGCTATTTAAATTCAAATAAAACACAACAACATGTTCAAAACTAATTATGATACCTCTACAATAAACAAAAAACACGGGCAATCCTCAGGACAGTTCATTCTATCAATTCTCTGTTAAGCATTTGTCATTAACTGTATAGCATTTGCATTCGAGATTAACTACTTCATTTTCACATTCCCTAGAGATTAAAATAAGTTTAATATCATAAAGCTCTACTTTTGTAACTGAAAGTTCTAAACGTTTACATGGATAAGACTACCAGGGGGAAGAAGCTGTGCTGCAATCCCGAAGGCATGCATTTTGAGACCACCAGCTGCTCTGTGGGAGAAGGATGGGCAATCTCTTCCATACTATTAACTGCCTCTGAAAACCTACTGCAGGGTCAGTTATGGGTCAGTTCTGACTGGATGGTACACAACAAGAAGTCATTAACAAAGTACACATTCAAACAATGTATTATTATTTTCAATTACGAATTATAGGGGAAGAACGATCAACAGAAGAAAAAAAAGC